GGTGGGGGGATAGGGTGGGGGTGGTGGGATGGATACTGGGACCATGGTGGTGGAAAATGGGCACTGGTGGAGGGATGGATACTCGACCACTGATGACTAAAATGCAAGCACTGAAGTTTGTAAGTCTGTAATTATACCTCACGGTGATTCACTAATAAAAATTTTAAAAATAAAAAACATAAAAGAATGTCCTCCCTCACTGAAGCCACTGACTGGAAGGCTACCTGAGGGTCACAAAAGAAGAAACCAGAAAGGCCATGGGGAATAAAAGGAGGGGATCCTGGAGGCATCCAGTTCCCCTTCTTCCCCTCCTAGCATGACCTAGTGCCAGTCATAAGAACTGAAATTCTAGCAGGGTGTGGATTTCTTTAAGAACTAGGAGCTTGAAGAGAAATACAGCAGCTTGGATGTTAGCCTTGCATGCAGCTGACCTGGGTTCTATCTCTGGCAGTCCATATGGTCCCCTGAGGCCAGCCAGAGACTGCAGCATCTCTGTGACTTGAATCTTTCCTCTCTCAAGTAGCTTCCGGAACTCAACATACATATCTTTCAAAACAAGCGTCAAGGGAGTGCCAAAGGCGGTCCAGCCCAAGGGGCACAGACAATAGTACTGAGGAGGTGCTGCAGAGACAGGCAAGGGGTGTCGGGGCCAGACTGGGCAATGTGGGTGGTGCTCACACTACTCAGAGGGGCCTTGGGCCCAGCCTGCAGGGCTGCATGATGACCCATACCAGGCTACAGGTGAAGGTGTACACACACAGTGGGATGACCGGGGCTCTAGCTGTGTCCGCATGTCATCAGGCTATGTTGAGCGGCTATAGGGCACATCACTGCTTGTCAGGGCTGAGAGTGATGTGGGACCGGTGACAAACCACCTCTGGTGCCATGTATGGTCATTTACTGGCCCTACCCCAGAGCCTTATAAATAAATCTATAAAGAGATCAACCAAGTGCCAAAAGTATGCAGACAGGGGCTGGAACACAGCGGATAGGGCGTTTGCCCTGCACACTGCCAACCTGGATTCGATTCCCAGCATCTCAAATGGTCCCCTGAGCACCGCCAGGGGTAATTCCTGGGTGCAGAGCCAGGAATAACCCCTGTGCAGTGCCAGTGTGACCCCCCCAAAAAAAGTATTCAGACATCCGTACATAGCCCAGATGCCCAAGGCACCCCAGAGTGGGATAGGTCAGCCAGTGCTCGCCCAAACAGGATCCCAGCAGCGCCAGCTCCCACATTCCAAAACTCACAATATGCCTCCAACTGGACTCTATCATCTCAGGATCGAGTTCACTGAGAAATTAAACCTGCCACTAATTTAGGCCATTGGCTCAAGAAAGAGATGGAACCTCTGGACAAGAACCAAGGGTTGAAAGTAGGTAAAGAGACAAACATAGCCTTTCAGTACCTGTACTGCAAATCATAATGTCCAAAATGAAAGGGAGAGGGGGAGAAAGGGAGAGAGGAAGAGATAGAGAGACAGACAGACAGACAGACAGAGGAGAAAGAAGAAGAGTGCCTACCATAGAAGCAGGCTGGGGAGCAGCATGGCAAGAAGGAAACTGGGGCACTGGTGGTAGGAAATGTACACTGGTTAAGGGTCAGGTATTAAAACATTGCATGACTGAAACCCAATCACAAACAACTTAGAAAAGAAGAAGCATCAGGTCCAATCAGCCCACTTTTATAGGCCACTTCTAGGTGGCCCAACAAGATGAGAACTTCAACACAAAAAGGCCTATCTAGCACCAAATAAAGGGTGTTGGGAGGATCCTCCTGGGATGGGAGAAGCATGCTGAAAGTAGACTATAGACCGAACACAATTGCCATTCAATGGCTCTGCTGCAAACCACAGCACCCAAAAGGAGAGAGAGCACAAAAGGGAATGCCCTGCCAAAGAGGCAGGGTGGGATGGGGGGAGGGGGGTGGGAGGGATACTGGGATCCATGGTGGTGGAAAATGGGCACTGGTGGAGGGATGGGTACTCGATCATTGTAGAACTGAAACCCAAGCACAAAAATTTGTAAGTCTACAACTGTACCTCATGGTGTTTCACTAATAAAAATTTTTTAAAAAATGCCTATCTGTGGGATGTTGGTTGCAGTGACATTTACGATAGCTAAGCTTATGAGAACCACCCAACTGCCTGCAGTAAACAGATGACTAGAACAGATGTGGCTGACGCACAGGATGAAATAAGCACCCTGCCCAGGTTCAGTCCTCAGAGCACTGCTCGGTATGCCTGTGGAGCCCTACCCCACTCAGAACACCACCAGTGTGGTCCTGTAGATCTCTTAGTGCCTCTAGGCTGGCTGGGTAATCTCTGGCACAGCAGGGTCCGAGCAGCTCGCCATCCCTGGAAGCTAACACTGACCAGTTGATCAAGTATTGACACAAGGGGCCCCTGGGTCGCTATGGAACCATTTGGAAGCTCCCCTTTCAAATAAAGAATACAAAAAGATAACATCTTGTATTTTACTGCAAAATGGAAAGAACCAAATAAGATTAAGTGAAAGCAAAGTCTGAGGGGGGGAAAAGACAAGCACGAGATAATTTCTCCTGGGGGTATAGGAAAATAAAATTGATGAAAAGATAAAGTGGGAAAAAATTAACCAATGGCCACTGACAACAGATCAGTGGCTACTTGACAGGAAGAGGGTGGAGGTGGGTAGGAGGAAAAATAATGAAAAGAGACATAAGAAAGTGTGGTGGGTGTGTTAGTTCAAAATAAATATATGAGTCATAGAGATAGTATGGTAGGGCATTTCTTTTGCACACTGCCAACCCCAGTTGAATCCCTGGCACCATGTATGGTCTCCTGAGTATTGCTAGAAGCCCTGAACTCATAGAGATGAGTAAACCCTGAGCACAACCCAAAATACAAAACATAAAATTTTTTTTTTGGTATTTGGGCTACAGAATTCAGAGTTTATTCCTGGCTCTGTACTCAAGAATCACACCTGGAGGTCTCAGGGGACCAAATGTGGTAATGAAGATAGAAATTAGTGGGCTGCATGCAAGGCAAATGCCCTACCTGCTGCAGTATTACTCCAGCCTGAATGAATAATTTTAAAGGGGAAAAATATAAGCAATGTATATCCAAATAATAAGTGGGGATAAAGCAGCCTGAATACTTTTCTTAGAGATCCCACTGAGGACGGGAACAGAGGGCCACTGAGGATTTGGCAGAGTTCTCAGCTCCCACCTTTACTGAAAGTCACTTTCCTGTGTTTCTGTTTATAGAGCTCGCATTTTCAGAGAACCAGACAAAAACTCATGCTCAGAGCATGAGGAATTTATGAGTTCCTGTGACGCTGTACACAGGACTTGGGAGGACAGTCTCAAAGTTATCTGGGTTCTGGGAACTACTTAAGCATCCTTCCCTCATAATTCTTATTCACTCAGCTATTTCTGTGCCTCTCATGTGACTCCGCAGGCCTCAATAAAAAGACTGAGTTCCCATGAAGATGTCACGCTCTATGCATTGGAAGGTCCTTCCTGCAGCTTTGCTAGAGGCCAGGGCCCTTTCACCAAGCCCACGGATAGCCAATTCCTTTGCCTATTCTTTCCAGCCCCATCCAAGGAACTCGTTGCAGATGGGAGAATTAAAAACAGGGGTGGGAAAGTATTCATTTGCCAAAGAAACAAAGTATGACCAACTATGACTTCCACAAGTAAAATGCATTGTCTCACAGTTCTGGAAGCTGGACGTCTGAGTGATGGAGTCAGCAGGGCTGGTTCCCTGGAAGGGAGAATTTCCCATGACTCACTCCTAGCTTCCAGTGGTTTGCTAGTCATCTTTGACATTTCTTGGCTTATAGATGCATAAGAAGCACATAGAAGCATAACTCTGATCTTTGCCTGTATCTTCACAGGATGTTCTGTGTTGGATGTTCCCTGTGGGGTGTGTGTGTGTGTGGTTATCTCCAAACTTTCCTTTGTACAAGGACACTGGTCAATCCCGCAATAGTATGATCCCATCTTAAGTTTACATTTGACCTTTTTTCCAAATAAGTTCACAGTGTAAAACTAAGGACTTTACATGAATTTTAAGGGTCACATTCAGTCCAAGGTAGAGGTGGGAAGTTCATAGAGAGAAGGAATCATTTTTCCCCATACTCCTGCTTCTCTTCAGGATACTCATGTACACAATTGGCTCTTTGGAGCACTGTTCTTTCAGGGTTTGAGTCTTTGGGAAACCAAGGTATGGATCTTCCTTTTGTTCTGTTTCTGTCTTAGGACTGTAGTCCTTTCCTGATGTATTCAGTGAACACTTGCTCACCTATTAGATGGATTCCAAACAAGAGCAAACGGAAGGAAAATTAAGGAGCAGTGAATATCTCACAGGCGCTATTCTGCCACTTGAGTATCTCTTTCCTGGAGGTCTGAAGAAACAGCACCCACGTCTCAGAGGAATTAGTAAAGGAATGGGATTAAGACATGGGGGGTGGGGGTGTCCATAGATATTCCCTTAGTAAGCAAGAGGAAAGAGAGACACACATGGCTTTTTTTAGAAAAACATATTTATTTTAAAATGTTATATAACCTTTGGAAGTTTCTGAGGTGGAGATCTCAACTCCAAACCATGCCCAAGACAGCATACTTGATTGGTGGCACATTTTGAGGAATCCGAGACACAGCATGAATGACTACTGAAGACAGGGCCAAAGCGAGAGGGAGCCAAGTGCAGCACTCAGTCATGATTTTTAAATTATGTCACCTAATACCTATATCTTATTTGCATATTTCCAAATAGCCCATATAGGAGCGATAGCACAGCGGTAGGGCGTTTGCCTTGCATGCAGCCAACATGGCCGACCCGAGTTGGATTCCTCTGCCCCTCTCGGAGAGCCCGGCAAGCTACCGAGAGTATCTCGCCCGCACGGCAGAGCCTGGCAAGCTCCCTGTGACGTATTCTATATGCCAAACACAGTAACAACAAAATCTCCAATGGAGACGTTACTGGGCCCGCTCGAGCAAATCGATGATCAACGGGAGGGCCTTTACTTTTACTTTACATATATATATATATATATATATATATATATATATATCAATATCACAACTGAACTCAGCAGACTTCAGAAACGTACTTAAATTAATTGGATCCCTTCTCTAATGATTAAAAGCTAGCATCTACCCAATGTTGAACTGGTGTCCACCTCCACATGCCCCTCTTGCTGATGAATGGCCATCGTCTTCTACATTCTCCTGATTCCAAAACTGCAGTGAGTGTGTGCAATATAATACAAGCTAGGAACTCAGGGGCACAGAAAGGTGGGAATGGCTTGTTCCACCTGGCAGGGAGTGATCCCTGTGCCCTGCCCGTTCCCAAACAAAGTCCGGTCTGAGCTTCGGGCAGGGAAGAAGTTGGGCTTGTTTCTGCACAAACACTGCTTTTGTTGGTGTCCATGATGTTCTAAGCCAAATTCTCTTCCTACATGACACTGAACTCTGTGAAGACACGGCTGTGCTCTGGCATCCCTCGGAGCAAGATGCTGCTTGGGTCTGGCCACAGGAGTAGATCAGTCAGAAAGGAAGGAAACCAGCAGCTCTTGCGAATCTCCTGCAAGCCAGCTATTGGTTCAAGACAGGGTTTCATGCATCCCTCATGATGGCCAGCCCATGGCAGGCTCATCACTCCCCATTTTACAGATGTGGAAACAAGTTCAGAGAGGAGAATCTTCCCATGAAGGCATAGCTAGCAAATAGGGAAGCAGCAATCTGACACCCCAGAGCTGTGCTGTACCCTTAGAAGTTCTTTGAGCATTGAATTGTCTAGTTCCTGGGGGGCGGGAGGGGAGCTCATATTTGAGGCCTTGAGGACACAGGAGTAGCTCCCAGGAGTTCAGAAATCCAGCACTACCACATTACTTTGTGACCCTGCACAAGGCTATACAGGGGCTGGATCAGTCCAGTGGAGTTCTCCACCAGGGGAGGCAATTTGAAGCACCCAGGGAGCAGGTCCAATGGGCAGGGCTCTGCTTGAAGACTCTGATGTCGCCATTTGCTGAAGAAGGTGGAGGGCATCCTGCTGTGAGAATCAATTACGGTTCCAAGGTTCTGTTCCTCTGAGAGACACTTCAAGCTCTAGAGAGCCACGTCCACATTCCTTGAGACATCTTTCACAGAAGGCCCAGGAAGACCAAGAAAATTAGGTCAGGAGACCTTAAAAGTGGGAAATGCTTAAAGTGTGAGGAAGAGAAGGGAGGAGAGCTTTTAAGATGGGACAGGGAAGGGTGGCAGATGGTGACAAGGGGCAGTCATTCAAAAACAAAAGTTGGAAACAGGCAGAAGGATACCTAACAGGCAGGACAGGGTCAGGCCAAGTCAGGCTTGGGAAACTCAGAGTGTTGGCTTTCCTGATGCCTGCAGTGGGGCTGCATGTACTGCGCAGATGTGGGTTGGGGTGCACCCCCCAAAAATGGAAGCCTGTGAATTCAGATAGGTGAGAGAGGAATACGAGAGGCAGAAAGAGGGCCAGAGAAACAACTCAGTAGGCTGAGTATGTGCTCCGCATGCAGGACGTCTGGGTTTAATCCCCTGAACACCACCAGAAGTCACCCCTGACCACAGAATTGGAAGTAGGCTCAAGCACTGCCAGGTGTGACCCATAAAAAAAAATGGAGGGGGGTAGGGGGTGAGAGAGAAACAAAAAACAACACATGTCTGGTTATTTAGTCATGTTTCAGAAGTTCTGAGGTTAATGTCTCAGCTCCAAATAGCGTCAATAGTGTTTCCAATCAGTGGGAAGGTCCAAGGACTCCATGATATTTGCTGTCCGCAGGCCTCTGGCAAGGCACACACTAGAGCTGTCCCACTTATCTCTCCCTCTCCATTCTGAGCCACCTGTGGATGGAGATGGAATCTTCTGTACCTCATCTCCCCGGGATGGGAGGCCTTGAGCCTTCTCTCATCAGCACTTGGGCTAAGGACCCACCAAGCCAGCCAGTGACTGCAACCCGGCCTCGGCCAGAATCAAGGAGAAATTCTGGAGAAATGAGACAGTTCCTACCTTCCGTGCCCATTACTCGCCCCCATACATAAAGTCACAATTTGGGAGCATGTCTTTAAGAAGTGGAATTCGTCTTTCTTGGACTTCAAGCACTCCAGAGCACTGGATGGCAAGAATAAGATCATTGGGGAAACAGCCCAGCACTGGCAGCCTGGTGAGAAAGGTAGACCTTGCATCCATTTACAGGAAAGGAAGGACCACAGACCGTGTAGGTGTGTGTAGCTCTGTGCTGGGGATTTGGAGCTTATACACCCTGTGACTACAGACTGGTGAGGCCTAGAGGACCAGATGCAGACTGGGATTATCTAGGAGTCAGGTTGTGCCAGGCCCAGGGTAGCCAAGAGAATAGCTGTCAAATGCCCAACAGAGCAGTGTGAAGATTCCTAGCCTAGGAGGCCGCATTCAGCAGCGAATACTCCGGAAGCCGGGCAGTGTGGCTTTTCCAAGCAGGTAAATGTCCTCGTCAGTGCCCAGGTTAAGGAACTTCACCAGGTTCTTCTCATAGAGGAGCGGATGGTAGGCGCCCATGGTGCAGGCACTGTCGAAGAACTTCTGGTAGTAGTAACACACGTCTGTTTTGCGCTTGGATGGAAGGAACTCGTAAATATCCACTTGGTCACACAGTGTCATCATGAGGATGATACCTGGAGAGGAGCACAGAGATGAGACTCCTGCTGACAGCTTGGCCCTGCCCCCCCAGAGCGGATCATTCCCCGTATGGACAGATATTTATCCAAAGATTTTATTTAGCACCGCAATGCCCACTCTGCATTCTCGTCATTGAATCAGGCTGTTACTCAGAGGGCAGAGCCATGTGAGACCTCACACCTCCAAAACACCCCTAAACCTGGACCCAGAGCACTCGAGGGTTGGAGTTCACATTGTACTTATCACCATCAATAGACCATATCAAAAAAGAAGACAATACAACTCAGGAGAGAGTCGTGTCTCAGGGAGATAGTTCTTTGGGGCACTTTCATAGCCTAGGGAAGCACTTGGCTGTTACTGTTGGGGAAAAACTTTTTTTTCCTTAATTAAAAAAAATATTTGTGGGCCACACCCAGCAGAGTTCAGGACTTGCTCCTGGTCTGAAGTCAGGTGACTTCAGATGTGGTGCCGGGGATCGAGCCTGGGCCAGCAGCATGCAAGGGCATTGCCATACTGATTGTACTATAGCTCCAGCCCCAAGAAAATGTTTCCAATGGTGTCTGTAGGAGGACAGTCTTGGGACGGATAGTTGGAACAAGAACACACTGGAATCTGCTCATCCAGAAAAAAGAACAGAGCTGTGGCATGTGGCCTAGTGGCCACATTCAGGAGGGGCACAGAACACTGAGATGCAAACGTAGCATGAGCAGGAGACCTGGGTGACCAAGACCCCTGTCCCTGCCTGGCTCAGCCACCATGTCCAGGACTCATGCCTCTCTTGCCTCAAGTTCTTCATCTGTCTCCAGAGGTGAACTTCCTATTCGTGCTGATGTGCAGCCAGGAGGCAATCACCAGGCTCATGATGGGCTATCACTCGGCTATCACCAATGGTCTACTCTTACGTAAGTCCCAGTTTGCTCCTTCTGTTTCTTGCCTCCCCTCTTGTCTGGGCTTCCCTCTTTTGCATCTTTACCTGTCAGTGGTACTCCTCCATGAAGCTCTCTGGCCACAGAAGAGTCCTCTCTCCTGTGAGCCTGGTGCAAATTGTTGTTTGACTGGAACCCCCGCCCCCTTCCGGACTTTCAAAAGGGGAAGGGATTCTATCCTATTCCGCTCTGAATCTCAGTCAGCATCTCACAGTGCCCAAAGAGTGAAAGGTCTAGTGACTGGTAGATAAATGAGTAAAGGGAGGAATAAATGAACTGGAAGAAAAACTTGTTTCTTCTAGAAACAGCCACATGAATTCTCCAAACACAGACTCACCAAGCATGCCGGAGGATGGTGGGTTTGGTTGAATCTCTTCTGGAGCCATTTCCTGAAGGATATCCCACAGCTCCCAAGGCATCTGGGGCTTCAGGATGTAAAAGGGCTGATCGGGATGCATCTTCCGGTAGCTCTTGTAGTTCTCAAAGAAGCCATAGTCGGGATTCTTGTACCACTGAGAATGAAGCAAAGGAGCTTCTCAAGGAGAGAAATGCTGCTTTCCCCAGATCATCATCCTCATCAGGAAGAAAAGACACAAGCAGGGTTCTAGGGTCCTGCCCTTTCCTCACAGCAGACTTTGGACCTGCTTTCCTCAGCCCAGCTCTCACTTGAGAGCAGAAGGGCACACGAGAGGGCACACACACACAGGGACATGCACACACACACACACACACACACACACACACACACACACACACAGTGAACCCTAAGACAGTTTCACACTTCAGGAACATTAAAGCCATTACTTTCAGAGATGAAAGGGTTTCTAAAAGGTCCACCTCTCACTGATAAAAGAGAGAATTGGAGCCATAAGTTGCCTTATCTGTAGTTTCTGAGTCTGTTCCCTAATACAGGCAAATTTGAGTTCCAAATGAGATTAGTATCAAACTAGTGGAAAATCGAGTAGCAGTCAGTGTTAAACTAAGTAGAAATGAAAGGAGTGAAGGTGCTTGGGATCAAGAACACCTGGAAGCTATTTCTAACGAAGAATACCATGTCCCCAGAATGATGCTCTTTTTCCTCCTGCTCTTAAGCCATCCTCCTGGGGCCAGTAAAGCCCATGTGGGGAGAGCCAGGTAACAAGCATCACCAATCGTGAGGAGTTGAGTGGGCCACTCCACAGAGGCTGACTTCAGCAGGCCCGAAATTCCCCTTTCTTCCCCTACATAGGGATGCTGTCCATTTGGCCTAGGGTTAGTAAACTAAGTCAACCAACAGTGACTTGCTCAGTTCACACTCCAGTCTCCTCTCCTGAAGAAAGAGATCAACCACACACTGTAGAATAAGTTGCTCTGAGAGTGAAATGAGAATCATTCTAGAAAACAGTGAGTGTGGGGAATATTACTTCTAAGAGGAATCACGGTACTAAATGCACACCATCCACAGCTGACAGTGAGCAGCCAAGCCAGTGCTTACTCTGATAAATACCAAAACTTGAATCCAAACCCAGTGACCACATAGGGCAGGGCCTGGAATACTTCCACATCTCTAATCCACAGAAAGTAGAGTGTTCATCACCCAACATAACCAGAATTCAGGAAAGATTCATACTTATCATGACTTCAAACAACCCATCACTTAGGGAACTCTATAGGCAAATAGGATGCTCAATCCCACAGACACACACTTACCTTTGGGATATCTGAGTGATACACAGAGGGGTCCCACACAACCAGGATTCCTTCGTTGTACAGACTGTCCTTGAGGAAGCGCCGCTCTGTGGTGACCAACTGTGGGAAGAAACAGATTAAGCTTTCATTAGTATAGTTACAGCTAATCCCAGGACAATGGAGGCACACAGGCCCTAGAGCCCTGTGAGATATCTCAGTTCAGGAACAACGCCTCTTTCATGAGAAGGAAAAGATGCCTGATTGTGTGGGCTCAACACAACATTTTTCAGCCACCCATTAGCCTTGACACAGAAGTAGTTCTACTCAGATGTTGAGATTCTTAGAGTGTGGAATCAGTGAAAATATCTCAGTGACAGCCCCTTGGTAGAGGTCAAGAGAGTGAGCCTTATAGCCAGAATCTCAATGAACAAAATGATATCTGGAACAAAGCTGTTGGCTCAAAGGACTGAAGCACATACTTTGCAAGTGGAAGCCCTGGGTCCAATTCCAGCCACCACATAGTCCCCATCAGGAGTCACCTCAGAATCCCAAGCTAAGAGTAGCTCCCTGAGTACTGTAGGCTGCGGTGCGCATACACACACACGTGCGCACGCGCACACACACACACACACACACACACACACACACACACACACACAAAATGATGTCCAGAAATCATTTCAACTCCAGTAAATATAGTCTGACCCTAGTTATTTCCACCTCACCATGGACATGGGCAATGTGGTTTCTGTCATATCAAACTGAGGGCTGAGCACTCAGAGAAAGAATAAAAACACTTGCTCTGTCTGTCACACAGGACCAGTCTTGAAGATCAAATGAGAATAAGAATGAAGGAGTGGGGCTGGAGTGATAGCACAGTGGGTAGGGCATTTGCCTTGCACGCAGCCGACCTGGGTTCGATTCCCAGCATCCCATATGGTCCCCTGAGCACTGCCAGGAGTAATTCCTGAGTGCGAAGCCAGGAGTAACCCTGTGCATTGCCGGATGTGACCCAAAAAGAAAAAAATGAAAGAGAATGAAGGAGAAACACAGAAAAAGAAATCCATAGACTGAATGATGAAGAAACCACATCACTCTTAAGAAAGCCACAACTGAGCTGGGGCGGAAGCTACAGTGGCAGAGCACCTGCACATCATGGGGGTTCCCCCAAAAGTCTTCAGGCCTATACCTCAGGCCAATGACCTGTCCATGTCTCCATAATGGCTGGGTATAGTTCCTTTTGTTTTTAAAAAGGGAAACTTTCCTTCACCCCCCAAAAAAAGAGTATGTAGGAGATGATGTTACTCAGAATGGAGTGGAACAAAGAACAGAAATCAAATCCCAATCGACTGAAAATAACAGCAAGAATGACTACAACACTCCCTGCCCACATAGAGTGTTGTTTTGTGGGCTCCCCTCTCCCCAGTTAAAACTCATAGTATGATTATGTGGCTAGCTCGAGTTGTAAAGTGAAACTAGCCCACAGAAACAATGCCACTAGGATTCCTGAGATGGAAACTGCTCTGAAGGTAGTTTACACATACTTTAGAGATTATAGATAACCACACTTTGAAGAAAAGCATCCTGTTACAATGATCTTTGCCCAGAAATTTTCTTTAGCATGTAAAGCAGGGGCCCAGGAGTAGCTCTGAGACTTTCCCAGAATTGTGAAGGATTTCACCATCTCTCAGGAAGAAAGACATCGCTTTCTGCTTTGCTGGAAATGAGGAGAATACTATCAACACATGCTCATAAAGAGACTAGGCACTTTTGTGTCTTATCTCAGTCATATTCCCAAGGGCCCTGGGAGTAAGTATTGATATTTTTTACAGATAAGAATATGAGCTCATCATGGCAGAGTAATTTATACAAGCTCCTTACAGCAAACAAGGAGGGAAATCTACATCCAGCTGTCTGGTTCCAGAGTCCACACTTAAAATCTACACATTGTACACCTCACCCACAGCTCTTGGGAGGTGCCAAAAACTGGACCCAAGTTCTTCATTTCCCAGGTGGGTACACCAAGGTCCAGAAAGAAGAGACAGTAATCTGAGACTTCCAGGAAATCCAAGTCTCTGGGTTCTGTTCCAGTGCCAGGAACAGAACCCAGAGACTTGTTCTTAGCAAAATATTCTCTATCTCTAAACTGCTCTGAGAAATGGGAGAATGCATTATCTATCTCACTCTTCCAGTGTGGATCACTTCCCGTGTCCAGATCTCAGGTGCCTTGTTGCTAGGACATTACCATCAGAGCAACCCTACCTGGATGACCAGCTATGCCTGGACAACTTCTAACAGCAGTCATTTTCCCAGCTGCAGCAGAAGACAGTAGAATATAAGGTTCTTCTCAAAGTTCTAATATTCAACTACATAGAGCATGTGACCTAAATTCGGGGAACCGAAAGGTCTGTGGTGAGCATAATATCTATGTGTGTATACGTGTGTGTGTATACATACATATATTTCTTTATCTTCCTTTGTATCTGGAGATATATATATATATATGGAGTGATAGCACAGTGGGGATAGGGCATTTGCCTTGCATGCAGCCAACCCAGGTTCGATTCCTCCATCCCTCTCAGAGAACCCAGCAAGCTACTGAGAGTATCCCGCCCTCACGACAGAGCCTGCAAGCTCCCTATGGCCTATTTGATATGCCAAAAACAGTAACAACAAGTCTCACAGTGGAGATGTTACTGGGTCCGCTCGAGCAAATCAATGAACAATGGGAGGACTGTGCTACAGTGTGTGTGTGTATATATATATATATATATACACACACATATATGTATATCTTCCTACATACATACACACACATATTTTTTCCTTGATACATATAGAAAATGATCATCATCAATATTTGCATTCTTTTGATATTACCATTGTGAGTATATTAGTTTTTCCTTTCCTCAGAGACCTTTTCTCCCTACTCTGATGAAACTGCTGTCCATGTAAGAAAAGGAGGAGATAACACAGAGATTTCTCTCTCTGCACATGCATGTGGAGGAAGGACCACAAGAGGATACAACAAAAAAGTCAGCCATTGACTCAGGAAGTGAGGCCTGATCAGAAACCAATATTGATGGTCCCTTGGTCCTCTTCTGTTTTTTTTTCTTTTTTCTTTTTTTGAAGTAAAAACAGATTTTATTTGGAGGTTTTTGAAGGGGAGGAGGGAGGAAAAGTGGGAGACAGTCAAGACTAATGCACTCAAGAGAGAGTGCGGGCTTCCCTAAAGACACAGAAGCTCCTACACACACCCCAGCAACAGATATGGAAGCATGAAAATACACATTGCAAGAGGGGAGATGTGGTGCCACATAGGCTCAGCTATCTGGGCATAAGCAGCACGTGGGCTCATGCAACATATGCAGAATCCCTTGGTCTTCTGACTGATAGAACATATTCCTGTCACTTCTATCATTTAGGTCACCTTGCCTACAGTACTGTGTCAGGACAGCCTAAGAAATCATAATACAAGAACTAGAGCAATCGTAAAGCTGATAGGGTGTTCGCCTTGCATATGGCTGACCTGGGTTCAATCTCTAGCCTCCCATATGGTCCCCCAAGTACCAGCAGGAGTGCAGAGCCAGGAGCAAGTCCTGAGCAACACCGCATGTGCACACCGCACCCCTCTTCCCCCTACTATAAAGTAAATATATTTTCCATAAGAAGTCTTAGTTTTTGTTTTTTTCTGCCAGCATAGTAACCTTTGGGTTTTGATCACACAAAGTATATAGGTTTTTCTCCCAAATCTATACAAGAGCTTCTACAAAAACCTCTGGGTTCCCTATTGCCCCATCTTCTCCTTCAAGCCCAATAATCCCAGTTGGAGTTGGTCTAAGTCTCATGATACCTTCTTTATATACTTATCATCAGAACTGAATTATTTAAAGACGCAAGCAAAGCTATACATGGTTTTCTTACTGAATCTCCTAATACATGGCAGAGACATGCATGAAGAGATCTACCAAGCTGAAACTCCATGCTATGATACCATCTCTATAAAGAGCCATGTTCTCAATGAGCACACTCTCTTTTTGTTTTAACGGGTCTGTCACAGTCCAGGTGCACAAAAGACTTCCTGTGCCGTTGGTGTGGGGGAGATAGGAGTGGTTGAAAAGGACACGCAACAAGAACAGGCTCTGGCTACCCTTAGAAGGCAGATGCTATCAGGAGAGCCACACCATCACTGTGCTGCCTAGGTGCCCTTTGTTCTCTGTAGGACAATGGTGGGGATACAGCTCGCTCATCCACAGAAGCTGCCATAACACAGCTGGGATGCCAGGACAAGAGATAGAAATGATGGACTACCAGTTTCCTAGGGATCAAGACGTAGTGTAATATCACAATGAAAGTCAAGAAAGGCCTTTTTGAGAGTGGAAAGAAGGCCACAGGAAGTGTGAACGCATCTCTTAACCCTGGCAGAGGGAGCAAAGTGATATCAAAGTGCGCTTCAGAAACAAATGTGCTTTAGTGAAACCTGGCACTGTCTGCAACAACCCTTTCCTTTCTCTTGATCACATTCCAATTCTGTGGCAATTGTTTTACAATGCTTTGTAAATTACAATTACAGACAGGCTTACTCAATCTTCCCAATAGACTTCTTAATTTATTTTCTTCTGTCTCTTGCCCACCTCATGGAAAAACAGTTCCATTCCTTTAGTCAAAATTTCTGTTTTTTTTTTTTACTCATCTTCTGAACCACTTATAACTTTGGCCTAGACCTGTCATACCTATAAATTTGACTAGGAGCTGGAGTGATAGTGCAGTGGGTAGGGAATGCTTGCTTTGCACTCAGCCAACTCAGGCGCAGGATCACTCTTTGCAATGCTTGGGGGAACCACAAAAGGTGCCAGGCATCAAATCCAGGTCGGCCACAGGCAAGACGAACCCAGGTCAGCCACAGGCAAGACAAATGCCCTACCTTCTGTACTATTACTCTGGCCCCATGGTAATATGTCTTATTCTTCTTTAACAAAGAAGCAAACCTGTAACTCTGAAGCAACTAGCTCAAGTCACTTACACAGCCAGTGCTAGAGGAGGAGTTGATCAAAATCTGATTCTTCCTTCCCAAGTGACCTTCCCTTGGCTTTTCATTAGGTCTGAGTTGTTACAGGATCGCCCTTTGGTTCTTCATTAAAAATCATGCAGAGATGTTGATACAAAAAAGATGATAGTTTATATGTACCTGTCCACAATGGGGCTGGAAATCAATTATACACTCTGACCGCACAGGGATCCTACAGCAAGGATGCGCCCAGTGCTTGGTGCATTACAGGGAGTCTCACACTTGCAAGGCAGGGTCTTTGCTTCTGAGCTCACCTCCCATCCCAATTCTACTCGTTCTCTCTATAGATGGATTGCTCTAGGCACCTCGCAGGAGGGGCACAGACAGCAACAGCCCTTTATGACTGTCTTCCTGACTTTGAAACCATTCTCTCCAGGAAAAGTGTGTGTGTGGGGGGGAGGGGAACAACCAGACCACCAGAGAGTCCCCTACTTGTTCCATTTGGGAAATGCCCTTCAAAGCCAGATTTGGTAAAAGAATTAGCCTCATCTGCCTCTGCCAGTCACTTCTCCCACTCACTTTCCATAAAACTCTAATCTGGTTTCTCTGGTTTCTTTACTTTCCCCAATAGCAAGTAATTCTAAAGATCAGGCGATGAAGATATTATTGGATGAGAGAAAGAGAAGCAGAGGCCTGGAAGAGATGGGAGAAATGCATTCTCCACAGGGGCCATGATGAAAGGGCACTTCCTTCCCCCCCCCCACCCAGAAACACTTTACTGGAGAGTCTAAATCCTGACATCAGAACAGACATGGTTGACAAGTTCACAAGGACAGAGACCAACATGAGTGGTTTTGAGATGAATAGGTTTGGAGCCCTAGTAGTCTATTTTTAATAATTGTATAATCTCATACTTTCCACTAATTAATCTCATTAACAAAAAACTGTGGCCAGAATGTTTCTCAACTTCCCATTAGAATGGAGAACCCAGTCTGTCCTGGATAGAAATATTTTAAAAAGTGAATTCTCTCAGAGAATTCCTGAGGTAATGACAGGTTCTAAAGGGGCTGGAGCGATAGCACAGCGGGTAGGGCGTTCGCCTTACACACGGCCAACATGGCCGACCCGAGTTCGATTCCTCCGCCCCTCTCGGAGAGCCCGGCAAGCTACCGAGAGTATTCGATATGCCAGACACAGTAACAACAAAGTCTCCAATGGAGACGTTACTGGGCCCGCTCGAGCAAATCGACGATCAACGGGAGGGCCTTTACCTTTACCTTTAATGACAGGTTCTAATGCTGTATTATTATATACCTAATCAGATGCAATGATGGCTCATATATGTATGGAAGATTCACAGCTACTAAGGTGCTCCCACGTGTCTTCCTTCATGTAATTTTTCTAACACTCCTCATAGACCCTGGACAGTCTCTGCTCTGTTGGCCCTCATACACCACTGGTCATACAAAACATGGCAGCTGCAGGACCATAGAACTCTGCTTTTTCTGGGCACCTCACTAGTGCAGTCTACTATTAAAGGGACTTTTTCCTATCCACTTCACCAAGTCGATTATGGAATCTATGACTCTCCTTTTTGAATGATGGAAGAATTTGGTACTCAGGAAGGACACCCTCGAATTAAGCTGGCACCACTGATGTATTGCTCAGAGATACCTTTGACAAAAAGCCTCTCTCCCTCCAAATCTGCACAGGAGGAATGTTACCTGAGAATTCATCAGGCGAATGGTGGTTTTCGATCCCACATCGCGCTGGAAGTTGGCCGTGGGTGCTGCATTAAACCTCAGGACAGCATCATGATCGTCTACAAATCAGAAGGGAACAAAATTTTTTTACAAGGAGATGATGAGCATCACTGAATGAAGAAAAACAAAAGGTCCACAGGGATAAAGGGATTGAGGAAGGGGAGGAGCAAAGAATAATATTTACCAATCTTCATCTCACCAGGGTTCTCAGAGGGAAATGATCCTATATTATTTGTGAAAATCATAATCACTGAGAGAGGCCACCTTTCTGCACAGTCACCCAAGGGTTAAAGAGAACCGAGGCGTTCTCAAAATCAATTTGATAAAATCAAGCACAACAGCAAAGGGATCAGGGCCAGTACACCCCTTTGAGTGGAATCACTACTCTGGGGACCAAAGGATTAAAGCCAAATTTTGGTGTTATCAGCAAGGCCATACTCCTCTCTGTCCAAGAAATGAGGGCACAGAGGGCTGGAGAGACAGAACAGTGGCTGATTGCCAGCATTCCAGATGGTCCACCCATCCATTCCAGAAGTGATCTCTGAACACAGATCCAGGAGCAAGCCTGAAGAACTTCCAGGTGTGCCCCTGATCTAAGAAGGTATTACTATAAACTCAGTCTATATCTAAGGACAATGTGTCCCAGAGTATCCCCAAAACTTTGTCATGCTCAGCCAATAGGACACATTTCTCGTGACATCAAGCCTATTTCCTAAGCATTCCCTATAGGACTCTGAGGTCCAGGAAGGATCTCACACCCGAGTAGTAACAGGGATCACACGGGAGATCTTAAGGTGAAAATAAACCCCATTGTCTTCTATTAAAAAAGAGAAAAGGAAGCTAATACAGCTAAGATCAGATCATCTTTAAAATCTGCTCACTACTGGCTCTACTCCCCTATCCTTGGGCTCAGTCACTGTCCTCCCGTTGTTCATCGATTTGCTCGAGCAGGCCCAGTAACGTCTCCTTTGTGAGACTTGTTGTTACTGTTTTTGGCATATTGAATATGTTACAGGTAGCTTGCCAGGCTCTGCCGCGCGGGCGAGATACTCTCGGTAGCTTGCAGGGCTCTCTGAGAGGGGCAGAGGAATCAAACTCAGGTCGGCCATGTTGGCTGCGTGCAAGGCAAATGCCCTACCCGCTGTGCTATTTGAGGATAATCTTTAAGCAGTTTGGTTAAGTGAGAAGATGCTCTACCCAGCACTGACCAATCTGATGGAAGAGTACACTAATGACTTAAGATCTGACACAATCCTGAGCCTTTAGGATCCTATGTGAGCTTACTTCAACCTTACTTCAATCAATCAAGTTTAGGGTTTCACCACAAAAATCTACACATGCTTTGAAAATGAGGCAATTTTCCATTGTTCTATTTCCCTCCCTATGGGTTTATTTGAGATGATCATTCATTTACATATCTGATACTAGAAATAAATCAAGAGAATTTGGCTCTATACAAGATGATCTAAAAGAAGTATAGCCATGGAATTAAAAAATGAAAGCCAACAGCTTTACTTCAGTTGTGAGATATCTACTACAACTCAGAAGTCTAGCACTCCATTCACAAAAACTGTGTGTCTAGATGTCTAAGATTCTTAGGACAAAATTTTATGAAAACGAATTAAAAGTTACATGACAGGCATAGTTCAAACATTATCAGTGTGTGGGACAAACACAGTGATCTTCAAATAGAGCAAAGGTATATCCTTACACAACTCTGGCCAGAAGTTTCATCAGAATCAGTCACTGGTTTCCAATGTGACTAGTTCACTGGTAACAAAAATGACAACTCATCAGAAACCTGAGACTTGAAAGTCTCAAACCTTCAACTCTCCCAATTTACAGATCAATAAAATCATTAATTTTAGGACCCCAGAAGAATTGAGTTGAATAAAAAGAATGCTTAGTCATAGTCATGGATAAATTTTATGGAAACCAAAGTGTAGTATCATAAGGCTGACTATGGCATGGGGACATCACTTAGCTGCACATTAAATGTGGCAAGAACAGAGATCCTGACTTGATAAAGGTCCTTGTTGGAAACTCAGTTGGCAAATGAGAACCAATACCCCAGATACTTTTCTTCTTCCACCTAACTTCTAGTTCTAAAGCCAAAAGACTGCTTGTAAGTGGCTGAGAATTTTTATCAAGAAAAAGCTTGGTTCCTCTTCAAGGAAAGGACCTGCCCTCACTCTTATTTTCATACTAGCATGTCTTTTGTTCAGTCCCAGATCTATTTTCCCATACATCTTATCAGTCAGGGTAGACATTAGATTTGGAAGGACTAATGGAAAATGCCAAGCATAAAAAGACTAGGATAGGTTTTTGGTGCCAATGAAAGGAGAATTCAGAGTCAGAGAGAGGGTTCAAAAGGTTAGTATGAATACTTATGAATGCAGAAGGCCTGGATTGGATCTCTGGCACTATTGTCGTACGTGAGCCCTCTGGGGACAATTTCTGCATACCATGCTAGGATTAGCCCCTGAGCACAACTAGGTATCTCTCTCTCTCTCTCTCTCTCTCTCTCTCCCTCTCTCTCTCTCTCACACACACACACACACACACACACACACACACACACACACACACACACAAATACACACACACACCCCCGCGCGCGCGTGCAATGGTCTGCCAAGCACAGTTCCATATGGTGAAGACAATGGCTGCAATATAGTGAAGGTCTTTACTAGGGGAGAACTGAGGAGGTACTTACACTGGTGATAATTACAGACTGTGGTTGATACTAACACAAATAAACTCAGCTAACGGGAACCCTGAGAATATTTTCTACAGATCAAATGATAATTCAGAGAATACCTCTAAACTAAGACCCAGTGGATGGTGAACAAGAGAAGGGCCCAGGCAAGTTTTTTTCTTCCACAGGACACAGAAAGTGTCCAGACTACACTGGAGACAAATAAATCAGGAAAAGAAAACTAATAGGGGGTAGGAAACAACACACAAGTCAGGGAAGTTGGGTGCGACTTCCTGCCTATAAATTACTTCTATTTTTCATGCATTTTATTAAAAGAAAAAAATCAAAGAAATATCTAAGACAGGAACATAAGTGGAGCTCATAAAGCAAAGTAAAAGGATTTATGCTGGTGGTCAAACTAACCTTTGCTATTGAAATGCTAAAGAAGTTTCCAAAATCAAATAGGCCTCTAGAAAAGAACAAATCACAGCTACTAGGAGGATTCCAGCAAACAACACTTGCTAGAGAGAAGGCTTGAGGAAGTAGCATCTTCTCGTTAATAAAAATTAAAGTGAGAGAAACAGGAAAAGGTGCGAATGAGAAAAGAGAGATAAATGCATCCCTATATGCACAAAAAATGTAATCAATGTTTAGAAAATTCTACAAAATAGCTTCTTAGCAAATTCACAAGCAGCATCAGAATCCACTGCCTCCAGGTCCAGTGAGTCTAAGTAGCCTATAATTATGATGAAAAGAATTGTCTCACACTCTGGGCCAAGTATTTGTTTAAATTTCTGATTAGCTTAATAAATTATGAACCATTTTTGGAAACTATATTCTGATTCTGGTTATGGAAACTAGATACAACATTATTGGTGAACTACACTCTGGCCAACAAGCCATATCTTGCCCTTTTCTGTTTTTTCAGATAAATTATCCCTGGTACTAACCAGGCCAATCCTTTTACTACTGTCTGCTATCGCTCTTGCATTATCACAGCAGAGAATGATTGGACAAACACTTTATGGCTTTGAACCTCAAACTATTTCTTAACTAGTACTTTACAGGAAATGTTTGTTGCAAACAATCCTGACCACTGAGCAACTCAATCCCAGGCTGTCTGTTCAGTCCTTGCTCTGCCAAAGGATTTGTGCCTCCACTCTCCAAGTCCAATCTATCCTTAACTTCTACCATACAATAAACCCCTAGCTCTTAGACCTATTTTTTCCCTTATCCTACAAATTTGTTCCTGAGTTTTCTCATTGGGCTCTTTACTAGATTACAACTATCAGCCTCACAAGAATGAGTCATAAATCTGATCTTCTGCACTGTCCCTTCTCCAGAATCAAATGCTGAATGCAGAGAAATCTGAAAACTCTTCAGACTCAGCACATCCTAAAAATGGAACCTGTCCTTACCAGAATCATGCTCCCCTGATAACATGGCCTAGACTGTTTCTGAGCTTAGAAGCTCATTCCTACTTCTCACTCTAGGCTGTTTCTGGTTAGACTCCATCCTATCTCTACTACAGGATGCCACTCAAATCAGACCTTTCTCTCCTCTGCCACAAATACTGCTCCGACCTGGAACTTGTTACCTGAAGGTAGAGACACTTTCTAATAATAGATGATAAGGTCTTGGCCAAGTCCTCTGGAAGGAGATTTGCAGAGAAATTAGACATACACAGTCCCCATTGTTCAAAAGCCTTCTAGGACTCCCCATGGCTTCTAGACTAAAATCTAAAGACCTTAATATGACCATCCCTGTCTTCTAAGAACTTACGCTGGCTAACATTTGTCTCATTCCTAGCCTGCTATGTCATGTGTCATACTGGGTCTATAAAACCAGATACACAGGATAATGTGTGATCACCAAATGCACTCTACATGTGTTTCTATGTGGTCTGCCTTTTGTCTTTGTCATTCAGTATAAAATGAGTAATAATGAGTAATAAAAAAATACATTAAGGGGCTGGAGCAATAGCACAGCGGGTAGGGCGTTTGCCTTGCACGCAGCCAACATGGCCGACTCAGGTTCGATTCCCAGCATTCCATATGGTCCCCCGAGCACCGCCAGGAGCAATTCCTGAGTGCATGAGCCAGGAGTAACCCCTAAGCATCGCCGGGTGTGACCCAAAAAGCAAAAAAAAAAAAAACATTAAGAAGACTATAAAAAAACCAGAGGGCACACCAACAGTGCTAGGTGAGTGAGGGGCATGGGTTATTCCTAGTGATACTCAATCTGACACTGCCCAGCCTGAAGATTCAGGGATGAGGCCTGGAGTTGTAGGAACTAAGGTGGCCATGGAGCCACCTGGGGAGTGGCCTAGAGCAGAAGATTCATGAGCTACTGGGACCTGAACTCAGTGTCTCAAACGTGCAAGATACGTGTGTCAACTCTTTGATTCACATCCCTGGCCCAACGATTTGTTTGCTTCACCGGGCATATTTTTATTTTAGGTCAGGTAATCTAGTTACAAAAGAGGAAATCTGTCTGGTTTTGAAGGTACTGTACTTTCATCACTACCAAAGTGCCCAACAAAATGCACCAGTGTTTATATGTCCCTTCTAATTCCCCTCCCCCCTCTGTCCTCTCTTCCCCTCCTGCCCCACCCCCTGCTCGGAAGTCTCAGTTCTGTAATCAAAGGACAAAGGTTTGCCATAAATCAATACTGTCTATTCTCTTGTTTTTCTTCTTTATATACGACAGTGAGTGAGATCATCACTCCATCACCTGACAAAGGATAAGAATACGTTATATTTAAGTTTTATCATAAAGCTATAATCACTAAGAGGTTTAAGAGTACAGGAGCTTAAGTGTGGGGACTGTGGAGTCAAATAACCAGTTTCAAGTCCCAGTCTGCTCAAGTTTTGCCCCCAGTCTGCTATTGACCCATTGTGTAACCCCTCAGGTTGCAACACTACGCGCATAAGTAAAATGGAACCAATAATTGAACCTACCTGACCGGATCACTGCAGGCATTTTAGCACATGGAAGGTGCATAGGAAAGCTTACTCCTAATGGCATAAAGGTTTTTTAAAATATTTTATAACATAAAATGAGACTTCTAACAGTACTGACCCTTTACATGTTTAATTTTTTAAAAAATAACTGAAAATAATTGAGCATACCCCTAGTTGGCTGGTGGGGCTGATGGAGAGACAGGACATTGCTACAATTTATTTGGTTAACAATTTTGCAATAGACCAAAAAAAAAAAGATTATGTAACAAACATATCCTACTTCAGTCTTCTACCCCATTCCTGAGTATAGTGCCCATTTGGAGGAAAACACTAGTCAGGTTTTCTGCAAAATATAAAAAAAAAATTGTTGATGGTACTATAAGAGGGAAAAAATCAAAATGCTCTGATAAAATTTAATAGTTGGTAACAGGATGGACCAATTTCAGATATACAGTGGCTGCTGTCTGATAGTCAGAGGTCTTACTTTAAGGGTCTTAGTTAATAACAGAATAAATAGTATAAGTTCCTATTTATTTTTTTAAGAATCCATGGATGAGGGGCTGGAGTGATAGCACAGCAGGTAGGGCGTTTGCCTTGCACACAGCCAACCTGGGTTCCATTCCCAGCATCCCATATGATCCCCCCGAGCACCACCAGGAGTAATTCCTGAGTTCATGTGCTGGGAATAATCCCTGTAAAATGCCAGGTGTGACCCAAAAAGAAAAATAAAGAATCCATGGATGAATAAAAGACAAAATAAATGGATGACTTACGATATCTGTTATGTTACACACCCAGAAGGAATACTCTATATAGGCAGAACAGAGTGACAATACAGCAGGTAGGGCGCTTGCCTTGCACACAGCCGGCCGGGGTTTGATCTCTGGCATACCAGGAATGATCCCTGAGCAGAGGACCTGAATACTGCCTGGTGTGACCCAAAACAAAAATAAAATTAAAAAGGCAAAATATTAATTCTGAAAATCCCTGGTCAGTGGGATAATGTGCATTTGAAAGCTACTAAAAGAGTATAGTATATCCTAGATATTCTTTTTTTTTTTGCTTTTGGGGTCACACCTGGCAATGCACAGAGGTTACTCCTGGCTCTGCACTCAAGAATTACTCCTGGCAGAGCTGGGGGACCATATGGGATGCTGGGAATCAAACCCGGGTTGGCCATGTGCAAGGCAAACACCCTACCTGCTGTGCTATCTCTCCAGCCCCTTCTAGATATTCTTACCTCAGAAAAGAAATAATAAATGTGTGGTGTACTGGAGCGTTGGCAAAAAGGACAATAAAAAAATCAAAGGCAGGAGCCACAGAGACAGGCCGGGGGCAGGAGGGAAACAGAATACTGATGGAGGGTAGTAGACACTGGTGAAGGGATTGGTGTTGAAACTCTGTCCCCCTGAAACTCAATCATAAATATGGCTATAATTCAAGGTGATTCCAAAAAAATTAAAAAGTCAAAAAGATTTTAATTAAAGGCAGAACAACTGAAGTCTAACATATAATTGCCTCTCAGATCAAAGGCCTTCCATGGAAAGAACTATATTTGAAATTATAACTGTCAGTGCTAGGAAAAGATTATTTTAACTAATGCTTATTTAAAACACTCTATACTTCAGTGGAGTGCAAAAAAAAGAAGATTGTGGTTCCAGAAAGTATCAGACACTCTGCCTTGAGCAACACTATTCCAGACAGGTAGACAATAGCTTGACAAGAAGAAACACTACACTTAGAGTACAAGAGGAAACGAAAGAAATGGGGTTCATTATGGACAAACAAAAACCAACCGCATTTGGTTTCTAGAAAACAAAGTCTAAAAGAAACCCCCAAAGCCAAAGCAAAACTCCGGGCGGTGTTAGTCACTTGGCAACTCCTGATAGAAAGGGTGCCTACTTAAAAAAAAGTACAAAATGTGACCTCATCACTTCTTTCTGCGCTAGAAAATCTAACTTGGATGTGCCTTTCTTCTTTTGAGAGCCTGTGCCTGGCTTTCAGGCCACTTTTCCTGGCAGTCAGAGGAAAGAAATAAAAAAACGAGACACATGACCTCACCTGCTCCGGCACCTTCCAGAACCCGACAGCAGAGCAAGGCTTCCTGTGCTTTGCTTCCTTTAGCCTGATTCATTTCACGATCGTGCAAAAAACACACTCTCACAAAATAAGGGCCTAAGAAGACTTACACAAATCCACAGCTCTGTACTGTCCACATATTTACAAATATGGACACACATTCTACAGGGTGGGGGTGAGGGGTGCGGGAGGGAAACAGAATTCACTCAACTCTGAGGACCATGGGGTAGCAGGAATCAGACCTAGGACCCCTGCATGCAAAACATGTGCTCCAGCCCTTTGAGTTCTCTACCTGGCCCCTATGTTTTCTATCTTTTAAGTTAAAAGAATTTCAATGAAAGGAAATAACGGATGTTTGTTCCAGTGATTTTTTTAACCTTCAGGGATGTGGGGGGTGGGTAAATACTCTTCTGAGAAGCAACTGAAAGCTTTGGACACTGCTGGGGAAATGCACAGACCACATGCACACATATCAGACACACTACATTTAAGGATGCTCTTGCACATGATCTTAATTAAGGATTCATGAGCCTATGAAAACTGGTTCATAGTTCCCAAGGTCAGAAATTGCTGCTGAAACTAATTCTTTTCAAAGAGAAAAGCTGAAGATCATGAGAGTAGTTGAGGTTCAAAGACAAAGCAGGGGATGGGGGTGTTGGGGTGCTTGCCTTACATGAAGCTGACCCCAGAACCCATATAGTCCCCATGAGCACCATCAAGAATGATCCCTGAATGTACAGCCAGGAGTAAATGCTTAGCACTGTAGGGTATGGCCTAAGAAACAACCAAACAAAAAGACACAGATTGTTCTCAATAAGTAAAATTATAGAATTTCTGAACCTGATGATAACGTCCAGGTGTGTGCCTTTATATGCTTTCAAAAATACTGTTTTTCTTATCAGTAACAACCAAACTCTTGGCAACTGACATTTTCTGCAGAAATCAGCACTTAAAACAGATTTAAAAAATAAATAAAGCTATGTAATCAATAAAGATTCTAAGAACCTAGGCCTCCATCTTCTCAGCTGTCCCCACAGGAGTAAACCATAAGTGCCTTGAAATTCAATGGCTGACCTACTCCTTGAGTTTACAGAGCCAGACTTGGTCTCCTCATCTCCATTCCTGTCCAGATGTCCAGCTACTCCAAGTGAGCACTGACTGTTCAGATATTAACCTTAAAGCCCCAGAACCCACCTATTTCTTGGCCCAGTTGGGAGGACTTCAGAGATCCAGCTGATGAGACAACAGCACACCGGCCCCATGGCCCAGTCTTGGTCTTAATGTTCTCTTTGGGGAGGTAGCCCTCCCATTCAGAGGTGTTGAAGGGAAAATCTGAGGATTCTACCATGGATACGTTCACTCGGTTCCGAAGATGGCAGCTCAAGGCTTCTGCACTGAACTTGACACCCGGCCCGGGCCCCTTGTAGGACACTTTGTACTTATTCATTTTCATGTAATTCTTCCAGATCTTCTGCAGCCGAGGGACAAGGTTTCTGGAAGAACTGTCCTTGTTCCACACCAGGTGGGAGGTCTGTACCTTGGCTGTTGATGAACCCCTGAGCCTGCTGAGGTCTTGGTTTCCCCTGAGTGGGTCCTGGATGCTGTCTGAAGATGCAGATTGGGAAAGAGACCCCATGGTCAGCGTCTGCAAACTACCCAAGATCTGGAGTCCCTCGGAGGGCAAATGAAGGGACTCATAGTCACCCCCTTTCTTCTTCTCCTTCCACACACAGATAATCGCAAATAAGAGACAGACCAGTACAATGCAGCTGAACTTTTTCTTCACGTTGGTGTGAATCATAATGAAGGATGTGTTCGAGAAAAACACTATTCTGAGCAGGAAAACAAGCCTAAAAGAAGTGAGACAAAGCAAAGAAATAATGTTTATTTCTTGTTTGAATCGAAACTTAGTAGTTGGCAAAAGATGGGCTGTGGGCTGAACAATGAACTTTGAATGATGAGGCTTAAACTTCAGACCACTTTCTACCTCCAACCAGGTCTGCAACCTTCTGCAATTCTCAAAAAATGTTCACCCTTAGTTTGGGCTTCAGACATTTCCTTCCCCCTCTGAGCCAAGTACACTGTACATTCTTATACTGTTCCTTTGAAAAATCAGAGTTTTTGATTCATGTTGCCTTCTGTCAGCTTCCTGATTATTGTTTGAATGTCTGGAGGTCATGAACCATATCCTATACCTCACTGGGTTCCCAGAGCCCCCATGCAACTTGATTAAGTGAAGCCATGCAGGGTTGAAAAGTAAAATAAAAAGAAGAGTAGGTTTGCTGTCTACATAACAGGAACTCAAACTCCCTAAAGTACTAAGGGGCCTAACATCCTTTTAAAATAACCAGCAAGAAACTTTCTGTCATAGACAATGCCAAAGATTTGGGATACTGGGATGTTGGACTCCTGTAAGATAAGAAGCATGTAGTTTCTTCACAACATAACATTTGGTTTTATCAGGTGCGTTGCAAGAGTGGTAATGAGTTGATTCACGTTGTGGTATAGAAAAGCATGGTAAGAGAGCAGGCAAAATACCAAATAAGGAACTGAAAACTAAGATGCATACAAGATGTCATTTCAAAATTTCACCAGAGCTAGAATCACGAGGCCACCCAATTCCAGACAACATGTTAAAGGCCTCTTCTGGGCTGTGGAGTGGCCCTGACTATCTTCAGGGATGAAGAGGCCATAATATCCATTTTTATAGACTGGCAAACTGAGGACCAGCAAGGTCAAAAGTGGCCAGGATCAGGGGTGCAGAACCAGGAACATGGAAGAACTGAGGTTCCAACCAGAGTTAACTGCATCCCAGGATGCGTGTTCTTTCCTCCACATTATACTGAAACCTGTTGAAAGTTCTAGAAAATGGATTTTACTAAGCAAACAGCACCTGAGAGTGTTCTTTATGTACCCGGGTAAAGATCTACTTCATTTACCCACAATTTATTGTGCAACTGAAAGGAAGACAAGAGTACTTTGAACTCATTATCTTATATTTTTGAAGAGCATTAGATTCATTTCTAAACAACTAAACTTATTTACTTACCATAATAATTCCAAACAGTTAATCCCATGGGTTTTCTACTAGTAGGTTCCCAAGAATCTAGCAGAATAACATTGGTTTGTCCTTTCTACCTTGCCACAGAGAGCTTAGGTTTATTCAGTTACTCCCATCACAGTGTTCCCATTCCTCTGTGTTTACTTGTAACCTCTTTCTTTGTGCTCCGTTGACTTGTAAATATTGTTTTTCTTTTCTCCTTAAGTCCTTTGCATAATTAATTCAGAGCAATGTCCTTTTTGTATGGACACAAGAAGAGAGTTACTGCTATGCTTCTATAACTTGGGAGTTAATTGACTCTGAATGAAATTTTCCTCCTGAACATCTGTTCTCTCAACTTCAGCCTCAGTTGCCCATACTTTCTAGCACCCAAAAAGCAGGGTCCTGACAAGGGATTAGATGGACCCAGGGTAAGCTGTGAGCTATGTGCTACCCTGGCATCAAAATGGACCTGGCCAAAGTGCCACAATAACTTAACTGTAACTTAAGAGCATGTTCTTGGACAAATTCTGTCATGATCCAAAAAGTAATAACTAGATTCAGACCCTGTTAGGGTTAGGAAAGATTAATCTGGCCTGAGCATTGTAGTTGGAATCTGTGGCGAGATGTCCCCAGGGAGTCACCCTATAAACTCAATGTATCTCTTACTGTGTCCATACAAAATAAATATTAAGAAGTAGAATTAAGATGTTAATTAATTTATTGGACTAAGGAAAGGAGAAAAACACCTTAAGTGGTATTTTGCTGGTGAGCAAAGGGAGGGCTTTCTTATGTTGATTTGGCTGCCTGACAGGGTGTAGTGGGAGTTGGAGAGGGGGGGGGGGGGGTGTGTCAGGGCAGGAAGATGGAGCACAGAGAGACTAGCAAGGGGCATAAAGGGAGAAGAATGTGGGGGAAGAATGCAGGAGCGGGTCCGTGGAGAGACGAGAGATGCAGCTGCGAGAGGGAACATGGAGAGATGAGCAGGAGAGACAGGAGGAGATGGGAATGGGGGACAGTGTGAGACTAGAATGGGGAGGATAGTAAGACTGCAACAGACGTGTAGGGAGAATGGAATAAATGGCAACTGATCAACCAACCAACAAGCATGGCCCTTGTTTGCTCCCACCAGGGCTCTCCCCCTAGCTGCCCAGTGAATACACAACTTTCCAAGGACTTATTTCTAAAAGTATCAGGAATAAGGTAGTTACATATTCAAAACACATGGATTCTTGCCATTGGTGACCTTGGGCAAGCCACTTAAGCTCTCTGCACATAACTTTTATAGAGTAAGCATGAGAGCCTAAATGGACTACTGATACCCCTCAGATGGAAGACGTACAGAGAGTAAGGTAAGAAGAAAAAGCTGAAGCTTCCACACCCTCTCCATGTATATATGCCATCCTCTCTAGCCCTCTACGTATCCAACAACCCAGAAACTCTCCAAACTCCTCTCTAGGTTTGTTTTGCTTAGTAATGGAGACTATTACATGAGCAAGGCTAATTTAATGATAATTACTTCCCAAAAGGGGAGAGAGGCAGAGAAGAGAGAGAGAGAGAGAGAGAGAGAGAGAGAGAGAGAGAGAGAGAGTGGACCTGTCATAGTTGGGGGGGAGGGGATGGAGGAAAGGATGGAAACTGGGACCATTGGTAGTGGGAAAATCACACTGGTGAAAGGACAGTTGTTGGAACATTAGATTACTAAAATCCAATCATGAGCAACTTTGTAAATGTATGTATCACTGTGGTTCAATTAAAAAATATATTTCTTAAATACTAACTAGCCTTTACTTAGTAAACCTTTAGTGCCTTTAGTATCTCTTCCCTTCCCATAGGCCAGGCAGTGGGGTTTGGGATAGGGCTGGAAATGCCATCCCTCTAATCACAAGGCTGATTCTTCAGGACTATATGGATCTCCTGTAGACCCCCAGATTTTCCAAGGGATCCAGCTGAAAATTATGTAAATAGGGAGGCTATGGCATAAGAACAGGGAGCCAACTAATAAGGCTGAGGGCCCACAGGAAGAAAACAAGGGAGCCGGGGTTGTTAAACAGGAAGGAAGCCACAGTTGAAAAAAAGGTCACAAACACTGCTCTGGACCATCTTTAGATTCTTCCAGAAATCACCTCTGTTTTCATAACAAAAGACATATTTATTACTCTTGACATTTAGGAAGTCCCATAATTTTGGGGAACTATGAGCCAAGAATTTGGTTGAAGGCAAGATAAATGAGAAATACATTTTAGTCAATTAAATAACCAAATATTTATGTCTTACCAATCAAGATTGCACGCCCTATCTCATCCACAGAGTGCTGTAGGGGCCCAACAAAGATGGTGGGAGGGGGACTGTGATATTTCGTGAATATTAAGGCACAGAGGTGTTCTGAAGAGAAAACAGAGAGCAACTCCTCAGCCCAAGGGCCATGTGATGGTGACATGGGCTAGCGAACAATGCCAGAGTGAGTGCTGGACTAAGTGGAAACCCAAGTTGCAGGCCCTTTATCTGAGACTCTTGAGTATAAGCAACATCCAAAATATTCTTAGAGTCCATTGGCAGAACCCAAGCAGCTCTTCTCACCGCCCCCCCTCCCGCCCCCCACTCCGTCCAGCCCTGAGAACCAGTGACCCTGGGGAAAATGGATTTCTTTCCAGGACCTATGATGTTTGGGAAGTGATGTGATATACACACAATGAGGAATCTTCAGTCATGAGGTCAGGGAAATGGGGGAGGGGGTTGGTGGCCTCAAGTCAGAAAACTAAGCAACTTGGTTCCCTCAGACCCCAAATACAACTAATCACAAGACAGCAAAAGAAAAAGAGCTAGATAATAAAGTAACAGCTCCCTCTCCCTTCAAAATGGCAGGCACCCGCAAGACCTCACTTAATCTTTATCACAATGCAAGAAATGAGAAGAGATAATGAATAAAATCAGGCTTATCCATGTGAAAACCACCAGGCTTCCAGTTCAGTTCTGTCTGACTCTAAAAACAGTCCATGGTTTTTGGACTCAAGGACAGATGAAGGCCAGTGAGAAGTCAGTGTTGACCCAACAGGACTCAGGGATCAGAGTCCCTATAGCAATGACTTCATACCCTGACAACCCAGAAAACTACCCTCACCATCACCTACAGATACACTCATTTCCTGGCTCACTGATTTACCTCTCAGAGGCTCTTTCCACAGAAATTATATTGAGGACCTAGTAATAATCCTGTCAAACGTAGACTAAATCTGAATGGCTCTATCTATAGAAGAAGGAACTGAGATACTAGATACATCAACTGTAAGTGCATTAGTAATTTGGAAATGAGGACCTTGGCACTTAAGTTTCGTGAGAAAGAGTAAAATGGAAATGTTGGTGGGGGCAGTGGGCAGGAGGGATCCACACTGACTGTCCCAGTAGCTAGTGCTCAGTTTTCTGCCAGCACCAACTCTCCAAGCTTGAGTTTCCTAAGAAAGAAGGTGGAGGGTGTGGTGCTGGAAAGCTTTCTGCATAAAATTCTGCCAGTATCAATACTGTAAATTAAAGTGCCTAAAATAAAATGTGAAAGGAAAAAGAGAGAAAGGGATTTGGGTTAATAAAAAAAAAAGAAGAGAGTTTCCCCAAACCTTCAGACACAATGAGAGTCCAGCCTCCTCCTTCATGGCCTCAGAGCTAATTCTGACACGTTGATTCCTGAGTCTCCTAACACCACATAAGTAAGCTCCCAATCTCCCAATCTCTAGTTGGCTGGAGCTGTTGGTCATAAGCACTTAAAGTGCTTGAAGACATGCTCATCTTAAATTTCTCTAATGAACCGGAAATTGAAGAAACTGCATGCAAGCAGTCTCACTGGCCAAAAGAAGAACATAGTCTTCAACAAGATCTTTGGGAAAATATACCAAGCATTGAATTTTCCAGTCACACCAGAAACTGACCTCCTTAACCTCCAGCCCTCCACTCCACTGCCCTCTCGTCTGCTGCAGTCAGGACAGTCTTACTTGAGGTGCTCTCTTCCCCAGTAGCGCTGTTCTGGTCCCTGTATGTGGTTATGCTTTTTCTACGAACACCTACCACAAGTCAAGTGTGCCTGGCCTCACTTCAGAAACCAAATACAGTAAATTCTCAGTGATCGGTTTCGAATGATGCATCTAGGGCTACTTAAAATGCCAAGATGCTTCTAGAAAATATGGTAACAATTTCCATTACACCTACACAGACTAAGTTCATACAGAACCAAGAGAAAGAAAGTCCTGTTGAAACTCAGGCTTCTGCCACTGACTTTCTGCTTCTCACCATATGCTCAGTACAAAATGCACCCCTGGGCACAGAGTAGGTGCTCAGTAAAAGGTGAACTGAGTTATCAAATACTTTCAAATCTCATTTTCATGGTTTATTTTTATGAATGGCGTATTCACCACAGCTCCCACCACCGAAATGAGTGACAAAACAAATGAAACAAAACATGAAGAAAATAGTATAACCAGACCATGAGCTCATGTGACTCTCCGAAAATAGCAGCTCTCTGCATTTTCTGCAGAAATGTGTCCCCTCGCTCGATGCTCCCTAGCACATGCCCCCAGGCTTCTTACCTGCTTCTGGCTGCTGGTCCTCCAGGACTTCAGGAAGTGGCTCTGTTCTCCAGGAGAAAGGATGTTGGCTTTATTGGGTCTGGAGGCCAAGGCTCATTTGTCTGCGGATGATTAAACACCATCTGCAGAGGCAATTTTTAAAAAAGTGTGTGTGAGAGAGGGGGAGGATGCAAGCTCTGCTTACTTCACAGGAGAGGCAGAGTTAACTATTAACAAACAGTCACTTTTGCTCATGGTCAGCCTAGCCCCAGTCTAGGTTATGGCTAGACAGAGAAACACCAGAAAGCCTACGTAAGAAAAGGGAGGCAAAGGCATAGTATAGATGCAGTGTCCTCGGTTCATGAATAGCACAGGAGCCCAGAAATGATTTATAGGAGATAAAAATTGAACGGGAATATATGCTGGGTGTCACCAGATAAATAAGCAACCCAGATCAATCTAGGGGGAAAGGATTGTCTAGTCACTGAATTGACTTACATAAATAAGCACTTTGGAACAAAATGAGGTGGCTCCCCAAATAAACTCTAGAAAGAGTTTTTTAAAAATAATTTTTTATTGGGCTAGAGAAATAGCACAGGACTAAAGTACTTGCTTTGCATGTGGTTGGGAAAATTCAACTCCCAGACATACTCGTATGCCCTGGATGATAAAAAAAATTAATGTGTCCATTTTTGAAAAATTTTGTAAATTCCAAAATTTCTAAAATATACACAGATTACACAGTGCTGGAAAAATAGTATAAAAATATCATTTTAAGGCCCTAAAAATAGAATTCACTATCAGCTCTATTTTCTAACGTGATACAGGAAACATAGCAAAGGAAAAGTTTAATGAAGTCAGTTATGTGAAAATTCCAAATTCGGTATTTGGAGAGATATTAAGCCAAGGAGTTGGGCCAAAGGCTGATACACAGGCTTTGCATGCAGGAGCTGTGGGTGCAAACCCTGGCGCCACATGGTCCGCCAGAACCACCAGAAGCCACCTCTGAGCACCATGCCAGGACTGCCCCTGGGCACCACTGGGTGTCACCAAAAGCAAAAGCAAAAATGAAAAAGAAAAATACTATAATAGAACAAGGTATACAACCTGCAAATATAGTTAAAGTCTCCCAAAATAGACAGTCTATACAAACAAATTACTAAATGAAAAATATAATTAACAAGCACAAGAAAGTAATCTTGGGGAAAAAAAAACAAAAGAAATATTAAAATATTAGCTTTCAGCATTTACATTAGCCAGTGTTTTCATAATTAGTAAGTCCTAAAGAAACTATAAATATATTACATTGGCATATTTAAAGGGAGCAGCAATAATTAATTTAACCTTTTGATAAAGAAATCAGGTCATAGATTTAAAAGCTCATTACTTATTAAATAAGTTTACTGTCAGAAAATAAGACTGAAGAAATAATCCAAAGGGAAAATATTACATATATTTTTCAGATGCAAAAACTCCATATTTTATAAATTTGTGGGGAAAAGTTATAAAACTTTATAAAACAATATGCAATTTTATCATTTTCAAAAACATAAGGTTACAACTAAGCTTTCCATGGGAAATAGTCCAACTACAATAGGACTATATCTTATCATGTGGATATAGCTCAACTATATCCACATGATATATATGTATATAGTCATATACGTACACACACGCACATATATATACACCACCTCATATATATTGTAATTGTGTAAGAATTTTTCAGCAATAGGAAAGAAAGTGTTTAAAATATAGGACTGTAGATGTAACTCACTAGTGACTACATGTAAGAGATGTAAGAGAACTTGGGTTTGATCCCAAACACCTCTGCCCTAAACGAATTAAAACAACAACAATAACAAAACATGAAACAGAACATGTCATTGTGGGGCTAAAAGGTCTGCATGTTCAAATACCTAGAAAAAATGTACATTGTTGGTCACGGTCCTCCTGTTGTTCATTTATTTGCTCAAGCGGGCCCACAGTACATCTCAAAATATCTGATGAACAAACTAACAGAACAAGAAACTAATTCACATCTTTAGGATCATCTTACTGTCATTCTCCTTACGTTAGTTGAATACGGCAAAACTTACTCAATTATTGGCGTCAATATTCCTCAACCTTCATATAGAATTTTGGATTGGTCCACAAGCCTGCCCTATCAGATAAAAATTAACAAAATGAAGAGGAAGGCATCATGGTTTCAGGTCGTGAATAAAGAAGGGAATTTTCTTTTTGAGACCTGAATTTGGCTTAGGGAACTGACGCTAGTAGTAGGTAGTAGGCCCTGGGCTCACTGACAGGGCAAATGTGAGAGGGGACATTCCATTCCTTGTCAAAAAGTCCAAAGCTCTCCTTCACTGAAGAAATGGTTGCCTGGCAGAATCAGAAAAATGTTTCTAATAGCTACCCATCTTATGAAAAGTCACGTCATTTAAGTTTTGTTCACAGCATGAGTGTTTTGCAATTAGTTGTGCAGTCAAACCTTATTATTTGATTATAGTAATGTCTCGGATTGAAAAACATAAATTTTGTAAGTAGGAATCTTTCTCTAGATAAACTTCCGGCACATAGGAGCAAGTTGGTTGACATATGTTAAATGAATGAGAGGTCTGCTTATTCTCAAAGAGTCTATGGATGAGTGATGGGAAATTCTTTCTCGGCAACCTCACAGGGAACATGATGGCGGTCACTGACCTCTGGATTTTGGCCTTTGAAGCCTGGCTACTCCCACTCACCCACCCCGGTCAACATGTATGCTGCTGAAACATGAAACTTTAACTTGGGTTCATCCCAAAAATCAGAGGAAAGGAACCCACACACAGCTCTTCCTCACAGGAAATGCTTCTGCTTAAAATAATTTGCACAATGAGATAAAAATCACTCCCCAATCTGGATTTCCAAAAACTCAACGAATCGAAACAAAAGTGGTACACCTGCTGATCTAGGTATATGTGATAAGGTCTTTCCAAAAATATCACTACTGAGACTGGGTTATCAAAGGAGGCAATCTTCAAACAGAAGCAGTAACAAAATCCTCCACTCTGGTGAGAAACCTTAACAACCAGATGACAACAGCACTGACAGCACCATAAGGGGTCAGAGCTTTGGAATTAGAAAGACTTAAGCAAAAGTACAAACTACTTCCCACCAGTTACAGCATCTTAAACTTCAACTCCATCACCTTGAATTTCAACTACATTACCATTCATTCAACCTCCTAAGATTCAGCATCTTCCTAAAATGGTGGTAAAACTAACAGAGCCTATCTCTTAGGAATGATATTTAAATAACCAGGTAAGAGAATAGAGTCAAAAGGATGGAATAGTGCCTAAGATGAACACCATACACATCATTTTTGTTTCCCTCTCACCATCTCTCCTCTGTGGATACCACTAGCCTCCCCATTTTACAAATAAAGGAAATCAGAGAGGGAAGATGAATAATTTGTCCAGATTGGTTCAGTTGTAGTTCTCCAGTGCCCCAAGCTCTTCTGTGCCTTCAAGTCTCTGCACATCAAAACTCATCTATATAAACTGTCTTTTCTATCCTGTCACAGGGGGCTATCCCCCCCACACCAGCTCAAGTGGTGCCCTGTGCTTTGAAGCCTTTCTTGACCTCACAGAGATCAAAACAACTCCTCTGTGCCTGTTGGGGCTTTCTTCTAACAATTTATCTACTTGCAGGTCTGTCCCAACCTGACAGAAAGTTTCTCTATGATTTCTCTCTGGTCTCTGCATCTAGATAAGCCACTGGGCCATAATTAGGAGGTTCTCAGTCATGTCCAAAGAGAGAATGAAGTTGGATCCAACACCAGCCCTCCCAACACCCCATGACCCTAAGTTGCTGGAGTTGGCCATCTAGCCCGCTTCAGTGATTGACTTTCCCCTCAACAGTGCTGCGCTTCTAAAAGATCATTTGCCTGATCATACACATAGTACCCCAACTACAACATCATCTCATTGTTTCTCCCTTTCCTACACAGCTGGGTGCTCAGCTGGTCTGCCCATTGCCCATCAGACTGAGCTCAGGGTCCTGCCATCAAGAGCCACCATCTCGCCCCACCATGTTTTCCAATGGTTTTACCAGGTTTTCACTTCTTCCTATCCATGAGTAGCATGGACTGGAATCCTGCATTGAACACCCTCTGGAGTACCTTAGCTGTCCCAACAACACCTTGCCATCCTAACTCCACACAAAAAAAAAGTGCACCCAGGTGACAGTGGTAGTAATTAATCAAATTACAGAGGAGTAGTGGCAGAATCCATGACACTGAAAGCCCTCCTGGAATCCACAGATGAAATTCTAAACAACTAGTTAGAAACAACAAATCTGATTGGGATAGCTTCGGCAGAGAAGGAAGAGAGCAACAGCCTGCTGGTTCACCCAGAGAGCCCCTTGGCGAGGGTTGAGAGCATCAGCAGTGCATTAGACTCACCATAAGGCTGCAGAAGACACAATAGAATCTCGTCATGTTTACAGTGTGAAGATAACAGCCCAGATGACTCAATCAGCTCTATCTCTCACATAGGGACTGTAGAGAGACCATATGGAGTCTGTTTGGTGAGCTCAAAGGAATAACAAGACAGATAGGCAATAAAGCCCTAGAAAGTATAAGGGCAGAAATGAGGAAAACTACAATCGGAAGTGACTATTCTTCGCTTTCTTATGGTCTATTTCAATTTCCTCCCTCATTTTCACCACTGCCTGATGAACTTGCTACTTGCTTATGGAGAAAAAAAAAGGAGGCTATCAAAATATAACTTCTATGTGCATGCCTTTATATCACAGTTATCTGATTTACCTGAATTCATGCCCATGATTGTTTTGTTGATTGACTGAATTCAACATTACAATTTGTCCACAAGATCCCACAACCTCTAATCAACTTGAAATTATAATCTTAGGAATTACCTAACATAGTTAGAATATTCTTCCGGAAAACCTTCCTTCTTCTGCATGATTAGGTTTCCCTCTCAAAGATCTTTGCCAACAGCATATATTTTGAATAACTTGAAAGAAAACTCATTAGGTTTTCTTTCAAGGTACCTGATTAGGCTTAACATCACTAGTATTAGGACAGCTAAACAATAATGCTTTCTGACATGAGCCAATGTGAAGCACAAAGCACCACCTG